TTAAATGATGCAGGAACCACCAAAGAGAGAAAAAGCTTGACTGCTTCTGCTTCTGAACAATCAGTCATTTTATTGACTTCTCATGTGCATAAAATTGAAATAAACTAGTCTGAAAATTCTGGGGGGGGGGGGGCGACATTGCTCTGTGAGAATAAAGTTCAAATGTTGATGAAAAAAAAAATTCATCAACAGCCCGAGGAGCAAACCTCAATATTTCCAGAACCTGACTTGTATTTATATTTTTGTAAGCTGTACATTTCTTTTTAGAAAGAGACATGATTAGACATATAGAACAGACTTTTGGCTTCTTTCACAGCAATTCTCAAAGAACTTCCTTTGGTCCTTCAGACAAATTTTTTTAGAGTACATTTAAAATTAGGGATGCACAATATATCGGCATCGATATCGGTATCGGCCGATGTTAGTACTTTTTTAACTTAGTACTTTTGTGTGATAACCAGTGTTGGGAGTAACGCCATTTAAATATAATGGTGTTCTTTTTTAGGTAACTGAATAATCTAATTAATTACTTTTCCCACTGTTGCAACGCCGTTACCGTTACTGGGGACGGAAGGTTGTGCGTTACTATGTACTTGTCGAACGTTGTGAGGCTTTCTTACCGCCACACTTCAGCTGCAGCCAGGGAGAGAGAGGTGCCGGTAACGCACTTACAAACACGATGATGATTGGCCGGGTGGGCGGAGACCCTCAGTGTTCTCACTGTCACTGCATGCTGTAGACCCAACAGAGCAGTGATGGGAATAATGCTGTTTAAAATAACTACGTTAATAAAAAAATATATTTCTTTCTGTAACGAGCAAACTAATTAATTACCTTCTTCTTTTAACAAAACGATCATTTCTGTTACTGAAGAGAAAATGCGTGCGTTAAGCAGCACGGTGTGTTGAAGCTATCATCAGCTGAAGCGCATCACGGCCCGTGAAGACCGAGGAAGATGTGATGAATATCTACGGCTGCAGACCCCCCGCAGATTCGTTGCTGCAGCAGTGAATCTGCGGGTCTGCAGCCGTGGCCTTCTTAGCGTGACAGCAGGACGTCCTGAAGGTCCGCTCACCTGTTCACCGCTCAGACGTCCTGATCTTCTACCTTCCTAGATCATCCAGCTGTAACCTGTTTCTGATCATGTCTTTAGTCCCGCTGTAACACTGATGCATCAGTCTCAGACGTCATGGAGCTCAGGTGTTATTAGAACTACCTGTGTGTGTTTACCACCCAGCTTCAGCTCTTCTGTGGTTGGGTCTGACCCACGTTAGTAAATGTAAGTCCTCCATCAGGCTTGTGCCTCTTCTAGTGTCATTTTAAAGGATTTTATTTATTTATTTAACCGTTACTAGATTAGCAGCAACAGAAATGCTGCTACAAACACACAACTATGTGAAGCTGGATAAATTAAAATAATGCAAAATTACATTCATTTCTGTAATTTAACTAGACTGAGAGACCATTTAAAGGCTCAGGAACCTTTACAGGTGTTTCTATTTGCAATTTTAAATTTTAGCTGATTGGGGTCTTGTTAAATATCACACAGTGACCTTTTAATAGTCTAGATAAGTGTAATGCTCCTGTTAGTAGTTCCTCCTGTTAAGTGCTTATTTATTTAAATTATTCAGGTTTATGAAAAACATTTGGACATACATTTTATTATGTTCCAGTCATTAGTCAGTTATATTTCACTATTGTAGTAATTCTTGCATTCTTTAATGAAAAAAGTAACTAAGTAGTTACTTTTGTTTGTAATTAGTTACTTTAATAATCTTGTAACTCAGTTACTAACTGAGTTACTTTTTTAACAAAGTAATCAGTAACTATAACTAATTACTTTTTAAAAGTAACGTTCCCAATACTGGTGATAACTAAAGGGACTTGACTTGAAATCGGTTACACTGTAGACATTAAAATGTAGACACGCCGCTGGGCGCTGGAGAGCGTAACAGTGTCACCACCATATTTGGTGGGTTTCTCATTCTCCAAACCCAACTGGAGCCAACACACGGTGAGCAACTACGCCTGTGTTTTGTGCAGCCTACATGGAAAAACCGGCTTACTATTGAAAACAGACCACATGAGATTTCTAGCCTATCTGTTGGGATTTTCTATTTTAATTGATTTGGTTAAATTATATTTCAACTGTCATGCCATACCATATGTTTGATTTTGTGAAAAAGCTTAATAAAATGTGTTTTTTAGTTGGGTAAAGAACTTCCTCTGTAGAAATAAATGCACTGGGGGGCAAATAGGAACCCAATCACTCCAATAGGTAGCACCAGTTCACGTCGCGTCTACATATATGATGTCTGTGGTTTACACGAGCCTAAAAAGTTGACCAATAGATTTTTGTGTTCACAATAATATCAGTTCCCAGCATGCACTACAGTTGGATACCGGAAGAAGCTGGAAGTTTGCAATGGAGCAACCAAAAAAAAAAAACAATGTTCCAGATTCCTGGACTGCCTTCTACTTGGCAAAGAAAAATGTAAATATTTTAAGTCCCTCTGCAAAACTCTCCATGAAATATTTACATGTATGACAGCCGAGTCAAATTTACATTGGAGACACTTTTAAAAACTGAAGGATTATTTTCTAGTCAGCAGCTCATTGTTGGCAGACATTTCAGACACTGAGATACACCCCAGAGTTGTCAGCGACCATGCTCCGGTTTCTTTAACTCTGGTAAACAAGAAGACAATCCCACCAAGCAATAACTGGAGGTTTAATACATCACTGCTTAAAGATGAAGGTTTTATAGAATTTTTTTTTAAAAAGGATTGGGCTAGGCAAAGAGGTGTAGCTATTTTAATACACAAAAACATCAATTTCACAGTATTGGACACAATTTCAGATCCAGAGGGTAGATTTATAATGTTAAAAATATCCATACAGAACCAAAGCTTATGTATCGTCAGCATATACTGTCCAAATATTGATGACCCTCCATTCTTTCATAATTTTTTCTCTGTACTCTCCGAACACTTGGACTGTCCTCTTTTAAAAAGGAGTGGGCTTTATATTTAGAACATAATGACCTGCCTGGAACATCAGCATCTGTTCTCTGGGAGGCAGGAAAGGCAGTGATGAGAGGTAAAATAATCTCTTTCTCATCACATAAGAAAAAAACAGAAAACAAACGTATTCAGGAGTTAGAAGAAATCATTAAGTCTTTAGAAGCATCCACAGAAGAAGAGTTACTGAGCAAATTACGTAAAGCAAAATTAGAACCTCATGGAATTATTGACAAAAAGACACAATTTTTAGCACAAAGACTACGAATAGAAAACTTTGAGCATAGCAATAAATCAGGTAAATTCTTAGCTAGCCAGTTAAAAATAAAGAGAAAACTACCATATCTGCTGTTAAAGACTCAACCGGGAATATAGTTAATGACCCTGAAAGAATAAACAACACCTTCAGAGACTTTTACCAAACTTTGTACTCACCACAGATAAACCCATCAGATCATGAGATCAATGAGATCCTTGACAGGATAACACTTCCTAAATTATCAGACAGCCAAGTTACAGTCCTGGACTCGCCACTAACATCAGCGGAGCTCCAGGAAGCCCTTAAATCCATGACTAATAGGAAAGCTCCAGGTCCAGACGGGGTTCCAGCAGAGTTCTACAAAGAATTCTGGATCATTCTGGCTCAAACATTCTTCAGAATGGTGAGGGAAAAGGAAAAGAGTGGCAGATTACAGCCAAACATGAACTCAGCCAATATTAGTCTCTTGTTAAAACCAGGCAAAGACCCGGCATTTCCTACCAGCTATCGCCCAATTTCTCTTATTAATGTTGATCTCAAAATAATTTGTAAAGCCCTGGCAAAAAGATTAGAGAAGGTAACCCCCTTCATAATACACCCTGACCAAACTGGTTTCATTAAAGGTAGACAGTCATCCACAAACTCGCGTAGATTACTTAATTTAATAGATTTCTCTTACAGTAGAAACATAGAAACTAGTATATTATCTCTAGATGCAGAAAAGGCTTTTGATATAGCTAACTGGAAGTTCTTATTTGCAACTTTACATAAATTTGGTTTTGGGAACTTCTTCATAAACTGGCTAGAAACATTATACAGTTCACCAACAGCACGTGTCAGGACGAACGACCAAATATCAGCTAGCTTCTGTCTTCAGAGGGGGACCAGGCAGGGATGCCCACTCTCCCCCTCACTGTTTGCTATCTTTATTGAACTACTAGCAGCAGCAGTTAGGCAAACAACAGATATTAAAGGGATAGAATGTAAGAAAATAGAACATAAGATCAGTCTTTATGAAAATGATGTTTTACTCTTTCTCCAGAATTCTCAATCCTCTCTCTCATTCAATAGAACTTATAAACTCTTTTTCAAAAGTTTCAGATTACTCTATAAACTGGTTAAAATCCACAATTCTACCAATTAATTTCTCTTTTGTCAATTTACTTAATACACAATTGGAGTCAGGGAATATCACATACCTGGGAATTAATGTCTCTCCCAAGTTAGCAGATCTAACCAAACTAAACTACATCCCACTTTTAAAGAAAGTGGAAAATGATCTTGCAAGATGGAAATCCTTACCGATATCACTCATGGGAAGGGTTGCTACAATTAAAATGATGGTCTTACCCAGAATAAATTACTTATTCTCGATGATCCCAAACAAACCACCAGCTGACTGGTTTAGATCTCTGGACTCCTCAATTACCAAATTCCTTTGGCAGGATAAACCTCCACGAATTAGCTTAAAACGCTTCAGAAAACCAAAGACAGAGGAGGACTGGATTTACCCAACTTTTATTATTATTTCTTAGCCAACAGGCTGCAATATATACCAAGATGGTTGCAAGATAACCCACTAAATGAGTCCTGGTTAGATATAGAACAGACACTTTGCAATACGATAGAGCTTTCAGACTTACCATTTATTAGCTCAAGCATAAGAAAACATGAAGGCTTTAAAAGTATTAGTATCATCACCTCTCTGACAGCATGGTGGGAGTATCTTAAAATGACAGCGTCTTCACTAATACCATGCAGTAGGGCTGCTCGATTATGGCAAAAATGAAAATCACGATTATTTTCAATGAAATTGAGATCGTGATTATTTCACGATATTTATTTAACAATAACAATGTATTGAATAATTGCTTTAAAAAATGTCAAAAAATATAAAATGGTGTGCAAATACTGACCACTGTGCAAATGATTGCTTTGCAATATAAGAAATAAATAAAAAATGTAAACATTAATGTTCAGTGAACTTCAAACTGCTGCATAATATTTATGCATACAAATAATCAAACATCAAGGCAAGCTGTGTAGCCACACAATGCACAATTGCATCAAACTGACATTGAGGTATGTCAACTAAAGTTGCTGCCTGAACAAAAATAAAATTAAACACTGAAAGTAGTACCTTTTATAAGAAATAAATAAAAACTAGTAGGCCAGAGTCCCATACAATCTTAAAATGACTCAACAAAACATGGTTCCTGCAACCTTTCAAAGGTTTTTAGCCAAAAACACCAGCCTATTAACATGGTCAGGCTTTAGCGATGCACCCAGGCAGTTGACAACATTTCCACCAGTGCTGAAAACCCTTTCTGATGAGGCACTTGTGGCTGGGATGCAAAGATATTTCTTTGCCAGGATGGAGAGTCGTGGGAAGAGGTTCTGTGATAGCTTCCACCACCCCAGTGGGTCTTCCTCTGTGTCCAGGGTCCCTGCCTGGAGGTACCCCTGAAGCTCACAAGCTATGGCCTGGTCCAGTTGAAGAGTATGTTCTGCACCTGGAGCTGCTGGGCTGAGAGGGGCCTTAAAGAAGCTGCCTAGGCCCCTTTTCCTCTTTGTTTGGTTTGATGCACCATCATCAGCAACCTCCGTGTTACCAACGGGTGTCCCCATCACTGCAGCCTCCTTTAATGGGACAAACATAAAATGACAGCAACACAGAACGAGGAACCAGTTTTATCTGTCTCGGGTTTGGCATTCTAAAGTACAATCCTTAAATGATTACTATAAATAATGATAGATGGATAGATAGATAGATAGATAGATAGATAGATAGATAGATAGATAGATAGATAGATAATACCATGATGGACTTCATTTCCATTGTCAGTCTGGCTTTGATTGTTTCTTGGCTGACCTCGCTTGCATATCACAGTTTGAACCTTGGGTCCAGGACAGTGGCCATGTCAAGCAACTCTTGTGTTGGTGAGTCACCATACTTTTCATTTCGGTACTCCAGTATTCTCCTCTTGATGCATTTTGAGAGGTCAGTGTCATCATCTTGCTCAGCCAAGATTGAATTGTTAAATAGGTGGAGTGTTGGTTTTATTAAACACACACACATATTTCTCTCCAGAAAGTGCATCAGTGAATTCAACCAGAGGTCCTAGGGTCTTGTTGATGGCCTCAAGGACATCGATGTCCTGCCATGAGGGGATGAGGTGCCTAGTTCCTTTGTCTTGGGAGAGGACATGGGCAATGGCCTTCTGCTGCTCAAGGACTCTGGAAACCATGGCCTGCCTATAATCCCCATCTGGTTGGACACTCGGTCTTTAAGGAGTGGTCTGGCAGTTTGAGGTCTATCTGTGCCTTTTTCAGCTCTCTCTCTGTTTTTTCCCAACTGAATGAAAAGGTGCTGACCACTTTTTTGCAGACCCCTACTGCACGCTCAGTCCTGTGATCTTTCATGGCTCTTTCTGTAAAAACATAAAACATATAAACAAGCATTATCAGGAGGATGATTGTCATTTCCTTGAGTGTGAATGAATAAGAAAAAGTGATGGTAGCTTATTTATGTTTGTATAATTCATAGAAAATGTGTATCACTTTGAGAAGGAATAAAAGTATCTCTGAATTTAATTAGTTTTTATATATTATATTCATTCGAAGCATTATGTTGTATACTTATTAAAAGAAAATCACATTATGCATCATATTCAGTAGGAATTAGGCCTACTCACCTATGGCCAAATGTAATCTGTGCCCAAAGCCCTGGAGCCTCATCCAGCCATTCAGTTCTGCAGTCAGTATGACGTTTGCAGCGTTGTCTGTGGTTATACAGACGAGTTTACTCTCCTCCAGATCCCACGTAGCCAGTGCTTGTTTCAGACCTGCAGCTATGTTCTGCCCTGTGTGGTCTTCTGGGAAAAATGATGTCTGAAGACATTTCGTTTTCATGTTGAAATCCATGTCAATGAAATGTACCGCGAGGCTCAAATACGGCTCCATGGTGCGGCTTGACCACAAGTCCGTTGTGGTGGAAAAATATTGGGCTGCAGCCACTTCCTTTGCGACACCATCATGACACTCATCATATAAAGCGGGAATCGCCACTCGACTAAAATAGTGACGAGATGGCAAGTTATACCGTTTGTCCAAAGTGTTGATTAGCTTCTTAAAGCTGGGGTTGATCACTGTGTTGATTGAGCATTGGTTTTTGGCGAGGAAAAACTTTACCGCGTTTGTTATCTCCTTGTGTCTCTGGGAGCTGGTGGGATATTTAGTCGCGTTGTACAGGGTAGCGTGAATGGAGGTCTGTGAGGATGAAGCCGGTGTTGTTGAGGGTTTTTCCCTGTGCTCCTTCATTGTTTCATCGTATGTTACTTTGTGAGCGGTTCTCAAATGATTAAATAAATTGGTAGTGTTGTCCTGTGGTGCAGCTACAACACCGTAGCAAAGTTTACACACTATATCGACTTGATTCACGTCTGACTCCACGAACCCGTAATATTTCCACACCACTGAAGTAGTTTTACCTCACTTTTCAACCAACGGAATTCTTTCTTTAGCAGCCATTATCCTCTCCTCTCCAAATAACGTCTGCTTAGCTTTCCTCTGAGGTCACGCTTTACTAGCTTTACTCTTGATGTGACGCGTCACGTGTTCGAAATGCAGAGAGGTGTGCTCGATTTGCTACGCGAGAGTAAAGCACGAGGGAGGTGCTAATATAGCCTAATAATTGGCTCAATTCATTTTTAATGATCGTTGAAAGCCCAGATCGTAATCATGATTAAAATTCGATTAATTGAGCAGCCCTACCATGCAGACCCACACCTATCTGGAATAATCCTGATATTTTGCAAAATAATAAAATGATCAACCTTCCGGACTGGAAAAATAAAGGAATCCTATACCTGGAACACATATTGGACTTCATCCCATTTAATAGAATAGTCTCCCAATTTGGAATAGATAAGAATAGCTTTTTAGAATATCACCAAATTAAATCTGTAGTCAAACAAAAATTTAAGCCCAATAAAATAGAATTACAAACAGCACCAAGGGTATTAGACTTCTATAATCCCAAACCCCAAACTACTGTCTAAAGTTTTTGACACTGTCCAAAATAGACGATAGAATAGCAATCCCTATTGAAAAATGGGAGGTGGATCTATCAGTAAGTTTTGACCAGAACTTCTGGTCCCAAACTTGTTTAAAAACTTTTAGAATGATCAGATACTCCACTTTACAATTAATTCAGTACAAAATTCTACACAGAGTACACTATACAGGTCATCGGATGTTCAAGATGGGGTTTGTGTCGTCTGACACCTGTACACACTGCACAAACAACATTCCTGACAATTACATTCACACACTGTGGTCCTGTCCAGGAATTTTGGGGTAGAGTATGTGAAGACCGGTCAAAGTCTCTGAAGTGTCATATCCCAACCACCCCCTCTCTTTGTCTACTGGGAAACCTGGACGATGTCCCGATTGAAACATCTGTGGTTCACGTGGTTCTGACTGCCATATGCATCACTAAGAAAACTATCCTCTTGAATTGGAAAAATAGAGATACTCTTTGCATCAACCAGTATAGAAATCTTTTGTTAGATTATATTACACTTGATATAGCCTCTGCTTCCACTTCAAATCAATCTCTCTGGTCTCCTTTGATCGTAGGGCTGGGCGATATGGCAAAAATAGAATATCACGATTTTTCCAATATTTTATCACGATTTCGATTTTATCACGATTTTTTATCCATGAATAGCATAACTTCAATATTAAAGAAGAGAAACATTGAATAAATAAACATTTATTCATATTAGGGATAATCAGCACAGTGCTAACACACTTATATTTTAAACTCACACCAGAGATGATAAAAGCCCTGAGAGAAACAATTACAAAAATCAGTTTTTCTCGTTTTTCAAGTTACTTAACATAAATTAAAATCGTAAACATATTTAAAGTGCAAACATGTCAATTGCAAACGTATTGTGCAAACATTAACTTGTTCAAAATACTATGTAGCTCCCAGTTGCTCATGTAGTGGATAGTTAAGCTCAAATACGGCTCTGATGTGCGGCTGGACCAGAGATCGCTTGTGGTAGCAAAAAACTGCGCATTCTGAATATTTTCTGCAACAAGTCTCTAAATAAAGTAAAATTTTCCAGTGCAGATTGGAGACAACCCATAGAAGCACTGATATGATCTCATTTCAGAGAAAAATAGAACAGGTTAGATGCACCTAATAAATAAAATTACTAACAAACTCAGGAATCTTTCTTTGCTTCACTGTTCTGGTGCTGAAAACATCACTAATGTGGATCAAAGGAGATACACAGATGAATGCACCTCTTATTATTTGGAAACTACATTTACTGCAGCTGGCAGAGGCAGAGATTGTTTCTATTGATACACGGAGTTTACAGAATCATTTTAAATGCTAATAGGGGAAGACTGCAGGAGGGAACGGTAAAATACAGGGGCCCCAGCAAAAACAAGAAACTACGAGTCTGATGAAACCCGCTGGTTTTCCATCAGGCAGTCACGGGGCAGCTCCAACGACCCATTGACCGAGCTCAGTCCGGTACCGACACCGGCTCGGCAGAGGGTGGACGAGCCGAGGCGACGTCGTGCTCTGCTTAAGAAGTGTTATTTTCCTGCTTCAGAAGAAGCGTCCAATGTGTTTTTACGCTTTCTCCGAGACATGTCACGTCACCAAGTTGTTAGCGCCGCGCGCTAAGGAAACCCTGCGTTCCTCTTCGGAACAAAAACCTCGTTGTCGCTCAGCCGCGGCAAAGCCATGTTTGTTCACACACCGGTGTAAACAAGCGGGGCACTAATATATTACTTTGACTCACTCTGATTGGTTAAGGGTCAAACAAAGGCGTGTCATTCGTCTGAGGTAAGTTCCCTTTTCATTCAGAGGCAGAAATTCAACAGCAGAGCTGTGAATCGTGATAAAACGGTCTCTCAAAAATGACAGACCGTCAGATGTGTAGATCGTAAAACGGTCTAAAATCGTCATATCGCCCAGCCCTATTTGATCGGTTCCATCACATAGCGATGACGGGGGACCATTGATAATGTCCTGTGGGATGATGTGGGTGAGGGGGTTGAGGGTCTGAGTTTGGAGTAGCCGGACGTTCCCTGGAGGTGGGTTCACTGGGGGTGTCTGGGACTGGGGGGCCGTTGCCCCCCTCTGGAGGTGCTTGAGTTGCCTCGGGGGGTGGACTACTGGCGGCTGTGAGTGGGGCCCCTTGGAGATCTTGGCGGTGGCCATGGGTCACTGCCCGACAGCTGCATTGCCCCTGGGCGGGTCTGGGTGGGGGCCTGGGGGCTAGGGGTGTGGCCGGCCCCGTGAGGGGATCTGGGCGGGGCCTTGGGGGTCGGGTCCTGACATGTATGCTGCCGGGGAGAAGGCAGGAACAGGCAGCAGTGCCTGACTCGGGTTCAGGAGCCTCGGGTAGACCTTGGCTCCTCTGCTGTCCCATCACAGGGGAGGAGGAAGTCCAGGAGGGGGAGGACCCAACCTTACCTGGATGTCCTATGTCTTTTGTAAACCAGAAGCTGTGCAAATGCAGGGATGGGTGTAGATATTCGGCTGGGGTGGGGCTGGGTTGGTGCCCTCGGACTCCGTGAGGCTCTGTGATGCTGCTGCTTTGGGCCCTGGCAGGATGGGCTGGGGCCTCCATGCTCTGGGTGGCATTTTGACAACAGAGGTGCCTTTTGGAGCCAGTGGAGGAGCTGGCTTCCTGGAGGGCTAAGCCCATTCCTCCCCATCCCCACACATTTCTCTCCTCCTGCTCCCTCACATCATCACACAAACATGTACATAGGACCTTGGAGGGTGGACAAGTCAGGGAGTGCGGGTATGGACCGCATTTCCGCATTCCTGTGGCAACCTGCCCCCCAATTTTATTTGCACCTTAAACACTTCCACCAATGACATTCCACACAAACACACACTTAGGGCCTTGGGAGTGAGCACATCCAACGGCATTTGGCCGGGGGATTTCTCAGCCTCATCCCAAGTTTCGGTGCCCACTTCCAATTTTAAACTGCACTTAGACACTGAGGGCTGTGGGTGCAAGTGGGGTGGTGCGGTGGCATCAGCTGGCATAGGCCAGACGATGCCCGCACTGCCTGCTCACCACAGCCATGGAATACACCTGATCAACACACACTAACACCATATTAGAGCAGGCAGAGGGAGACTAGGGGTCTTAGCACACCTCTGTTGTCGCTTGGCTTCCTGGGGCTGAAGGCTAGGAGGGAGATCCGGCCGTCCTGTTGGGGTCTGGGGTGGTGGGTTGCTGTGCTCAACATTGGGCGGGGGAGCCTGCTCATCAGCACCCAGGCAGAAAGGGTCAAACTCTGGTAACCGGTTGTACTGAATGTTTGCACTGATTGCCGATCACGCTTCAACTGAGTTGTCCTCGGTCAGAAGGATTGGCACTCCACAGTGATGTAGTCCAAGTAGTTTTATTAAAGAGGTAGCAGATGACATCAACAAGTGAGGCAATTGCATTCCCATCTATGAATGCAGGTAAAGGGAGTGTGAGTGTGCAGGAGTATGTGGGTGTGGTAATCTGTTAACAGAAAGAACAACCATTAGTATGAATAGCAGTGTACCGCTTATACAGCACTGTGGGTTTCCAGCATGAAGTTATATGATCTGCTATAAACCTCATGGCCACTAGATGCCACCCTAAGACCATACATGAATTTCTTGTTCGTATATGCATTAGCAAACAGTATCTCTACAGGTCAGATAATAAACACAGAAAATAGTTCTATCCACCTCCAACCACCATACTTGATAGTGAGTCGTATATGGAATGCCATATAAGCTGCAACCAAGGCTGCCTGAAGTAGGCCAACAAAACCTGCAACTTAGCAACAGGACTAGCTTCTTAGTGATGTACACAGAGCAACTCACAGATAAAGTCAAATAAGCATCAATCTCATCTTATAATACTCACATGATAAACACGCACACCAAGGGTAACTCACACAGGAACGCACGAGAAAAACGCTGATCATCCAACACCTTTCAGCTGTGCTGAACTGCGCTAAACACGTTCCCAACGGGAAGTACAGATACCGAGGTGCATCATGGGTAATGTAGTCTAAACGGTGTTCACAAACATTATTCCTCTGGAAAGCGGACTTTTAACAGCCGCCCCTGTATTTGTATGGATACAAATACACACACGCTAAAGTCATTCTATTGCAGAACAGTATCATCTAAGTCCTCAGGGACTTTGGGGAGTCCCACTAGCTTAGTCACCGGGCGAACATAGAGACTGTCTTTGACCTTGACTTCGGCAGCTCGAACAACACCATCAGTCCCTGGAAAAACTTGGGAAATGGTACCCACAGGCCAGAGGCCTCTAGGCAGATTGGAGTCTACAATCATAACAGCTTGTCCCATGGTCATGTTGTCAGTGGACTTCCTCCATTTCTGTCGGAGTTGCAGTCCTGGGAGGTAGTTCTGTATGAACCGCTTCCAGAAGTGGTCACTGATGACCTGGCTGTGTATCCATCTTCTGGTCGAAAGAGTGCCTGAGGGGCCGTAGACTGCCTGGGGTAGTGCCGAATCACGCCGCCCCATCAAGAGAAGATTTGGTGTGATGGGATCTGGGTCGGCTATGTCAGCCGATGCATAGCCAAGCGGTTTTGAGTTCAAAATGCCCTCAACCTCTATGAGAGCTGTGAGTAGGACTTCTTCTGCCACAACTTGGTCCTTCAGGACTACTTGCAGAGCTGACTTCACTGCTCTGATTTCCCTTTCCCAGGCTCCTCCGAAATGAGGCGAGTGTGGGGGATTGAAGCAGAAGTTGATAGCCTGCGTGGCTAGTTGCTGCTTGAGGTCAGGCTCCATGTTTTCAAATGCTGCTTGGAGTTCTCTATGACCACCTCTGAAATTGGTTCCTTGATCAGACCACATCTCGTATGGCTTTCCTCTGCGTGCGATAAATCTGCGTAATGACATAAGGAAGGAATCGGTGTCAAGACTAGGGAGGAGATCGAGATGCACACATCTAGTTGTAAGACACTTGTAGATAATTCCCCAGCGTTTCTCTCTTCTACGACCTATCTTTATCGTGTATGGCCCGAAACAGTCTACGCCCGTTGACCAGAACGGGGGTTTATAGAGTCTCATCCGTGAGGAAGGTAAATCAGCCATCTTGGGTGTAGAAGGTGTGGCGCGCCATCTCCTACAGTCCACACACTGGTGCTGGTGTTTCTTAATGGCTTGACGTCCTCTGAGAATCCAATAGGTGCGCCTTATCTCCGCAAATAGCCTCTCTGCACCTGGGTGAAGGAGCTGGTCATCATAAGTCCTTATGATGAGCTTGGTCAGGGGATGTTCAGCTGCTAGTACGATGGGATGAATACTGTCTGGATCTAAGTCTGCGGCTTGACGAAGGCGGCCTCCGACTCTGATGAGACCAGTAAGACTGTCATATTCAGGGGACAGCGTGCTAAGACGGCTGTCTGAGCGGACTGGGCGACTGGTCTGGAGGGCTTTGGTCTCCTCTGTGAAGCTGTCGGTCTGAGCTGAGCGGAGCAGCATGGTCTTGGTTTCCAGTCGCTCCGCGGCTGTAATAGGAGTGTCGGCCGCCCCGTGTAGGGTCCGGTACGTAGCAGCAATCAGCTTATCTAGTGAGGCATACTGCAATGGATCCGGCAAGGTTGGGGATACAGAAGCGTGCCCACAGAATGCAGTCCTCCTGAGCTCTGCTTCATTGCAGGCTGGAAACTCTGTTGGCAGCTTAGGCCAAGTGTCAGTGGCTTGTAATAGGAAAGGTGGACCATGTGACCAACGATTGGGGGCTGTTAGGTCAGCGAGATGTTTCCCTCTGGTGATGTCATCAGCAGGATTGAGCTCAGAGGTCACATATCGCCACTGTTCAGGAGATGTCAGCTCCTGTATTGCACAGATTCGAGTCCCCACAAATACCTTATAGCGACAGGAACTAGATTGGATCCACTGCAGCACCGTGGTAGAGTCTGTCCACAGGTAAATCGACTGTATGGGAACAGTAAGCTCTGTCTGGAGTAATCTGGCCAATTGGGCTCCTGTGAGTGCTGCGCAAAGCTCCAACCGGGGCATTGACACCTGCTTGCGTGGGGCCACTCTGGAGCGAGCCATCAGGAATGATGTGATGATGGGCCGTTGCCGCTCAATTACCCTGAGATAAGCCACAGCCCCATAAGCCTTTTCCGATGCGTCACAGAATACGTGAGCTTCATATGTCACATTGCTGGAGTTATGAGGAGGAGCGTAGCAGCGGGGAATGATGACATGCTGAAGGTGTGACAGTTCGCCTTCCCACTCAAGCCAGGACTGGAGTAGATTCCCTTCGATGGGCTCATCCCACCCTCTTTCTGTGCTCCACAGGGCCTGTACAATCAGCTTGGCCCTTGTAGTGTAGGGACAAATATACCCTAGTGGGTCATACTGGGTAGCTAGTACCTTGTACACATTGCGCAGCGTGACCGTGGAGTAGGTGATAGGGCGGTGCTTATATCCCAGGACATCTGTCGGACAGTGCCAGCTAAGTCCTAACGTTGACTCTTGTGAGTCGAAACCTTTGAAGTTCAGCCAAAGTTCACAGCTCTCTGATCGAGCTGAAGCGGGCAGATGAGCAACTACTTCGGGCACGTTGCTCGCCCACTGTCGTATATCAAATCCTCCCTGAATGAGTAAATCTCTCATCCGGTCGATGAGCTGTTTTGCCTCTTCTGGGTTGAACAGGGACAGTAAACAATTATCCACGTAGAAGGCTGTGTGGACTGAGTCACAGATGTCTTTGTGGGTTTCTTTGTGCTCCCTTGCATGTCTCTGTAGGGCGAACGTAGCACAGCAGGGGCTACATGTCGTTCCGAAGGGCAAAACTCTCCACTCATATATGTCTGGGGGCCGATCTGTTTCACAATCCCTCCACAGAAACCGTAGCAGGGGACAATCCTCTGGGAGCAGCCAAGCCTGATGAATCATGGCTTTGATATCTCCACTCACGGCTACAGGGTGTTGGCGGAAGCGGAGTAATACCCCCAGCAGAGTGGGCCCCATGGGAGGTCCTGGTAAGAGGCAGCGGTTCAGGACGGACCCCTGAAACTCAAACGAACAGTTGAAGACCACTCTAGCCTTATTGTTGTGATGTACTATGTGGTGCGGTACATACCATGACTCAGAAGAGCTATGTGTCTCATTTGGGCTCAGCTTAGCAACATAGCCAGACTCTACTAACCTGTGGATCTCCTGGTTGTATGTATGGGTCAGATCAGGGTTCTTGGCCAGCTTACGTTCAGTAGATCTGAGGAGGCCCTTTACTGCTTCAGGGGGGACACACAGACGTGGAAAGTCTCTTCTTCTCAGTAGAGGAGTGGCATATCTCTCGACACCATCTACTGGGACTCTGAGGGTCTTTGTTTCCAACGTAGCCACTGCCTCTCTGTCCTCCTTTGACCGTGTGACCTCCTTCTCTGTCCTACAGGGGGGAACATCTAGTTGCCACAAACGCTTCACATCTTGATGCAGGGCCTCTGCAGGAGAAAGACACATGTTCAGGCACTGCAGCTCCCCCTCAGATGTAGGCATACTACTGGCTGGCCCCTGGATGGCCCATCCGAGCTTGGTGCAGACGGCTACTGGCCCTTTAGATGACCCCCTAAGGACAGGACGGACAGGGGTGATGAGATGAGCATTATCTGAGCCAAGTAGCACCAAAGGTTGGACCTGGTTAAATCCTTTGATCTGGACTTTCTGCAAGTGAATATACTTCTTCTTCAGCTGTTCAGCTGGACATGACTGAGTAGCTAGACTCAGCTGGTCGGCTGTGAATGCATGTGTTACTTTGTACCTCACTTTGGGCTTAGCTCTCGGTGACACCTGAAATGAGACAAAGCCTCCCTTCATCTGGATTACATCTCGACGGATAGTTCGCAGTGCGAGTGTTGCTTCCTCCTGCTCCAAACCTAGAGATTTAACTGCCGCAGGAAGCACAACAGTCTTTTCTGAGCCGTCATCAAGCACAGCAAATGTGTCCAGAGATTTGCCACCATGATGTAGTTGAATTGGTACTACTTTAAGCATGACTCGACCTGAGTGACTTGAATAGTCTAGGTAAACCATACTAGTACTCACAGTTAGTATGTTAGGGTCCCGCTTCTTGGCCTCAACCAGGTCATGGAGCACAGACAAATGCTGGTCACCACAGGTGCTGCACGGCTTCTTTAGAGTACACTGCTCTGGAGAATGTTTACGGCCACAGCGCCAGCATTTGGCCTTCTCAGTAATCCAGGTAGCCATAGCTTTGAGGTCTAGCCCTTTAAATCCATCACAGCCATTCAGATAATGCTCTGTCCCTTCACAGTATGGACAATAAGGTTTGAACTTCTGTCTCTTCTTAGGTTGGACTGTCGGATTGGGAGCTGTAGATCCTCCCCCTGGTCTTAGCTTGGCTTGGGCTGGATTTGGGCCGTAGTAAATGGAAGCAGATTTGCTGTGTGACTTGGGCCCTGCTAAGGCTTTGAGTAGGTTCTTCTCTGGGCGTGGCCTGTCAGAGGGCATGTGAGAGGCTTGTCTGGATAGCTGAAGGACTTGGGATTTCCGTTCAAGCCATTCTGAGAAGTCGTACATATTGTATGTTCGGCTGCTGCCAGTGCGGATGATCCCCCGGGTAATACAGTACTCGATGAAGCTGTCTCTGTAGTTCAGGGGGAGTTTGGTAAGCAGTCTGTCCACATGTGAACCACAATGAAGCTCACTGGCTGCTACTTCATCCATGGTACTGAGAAGCCCGACCAGGCTGGACACGGACAGGGACAGGTCCTCAATAGCTTGAGAGTCTCCTGTTCTAATAGGGGGGCAGTTCAATATAGTGCTAAGCTCACTTTGGACTAACTGCCTTGGCTGTCCATACCTCTGCTCTAGCGCCCTCATTGCACTAGTATAGGGAGTGCGGTCGTGGATGTAGCGCTTGGCTACCTGTAGGGCGCTGGGATATTCTAGATGATCTAATAGGACCTGAAACTTGTAATCTTCTCCCAGATGAGAATGTGGCCCTAAGGTGCTGTCCAGCCCTTTCTTTAATAAGGCGAAGTCACTCTCTCTGCCCGTCCTGAAGACCACCAGCCTAGGCTTTGGAATACCATATGAAGATGCCACCATCATTTCCATCAGGTTTGGTAGAGGCGCTCTGGCTGATTCAGATGTGGCAACCCGTGGATTATATTGTCCAGCAGAGGAAGATGATGAATAGTCACTTCCTGACGGGTCGGGAACGTGGTGGTTGCCAGCTGGATCAGGCAAAGCTTCAGGATGCAATATGTTGGATACAGGGTGCTGAGCGTCTGCCCACTGTGATGGCTGGGTCACAGGTTCTGGTGGACGTGGAAGTTGGTAGGTCGGATCAGCAGGACGCGGTGGTTGCTGCAAGTACACAGGATTAGCTGGAGGTCTGGCTTGGAAGACGGGAGCAGCTGGATGTAACGTCTGCTGCAGACTCACTGGATCCCCAGCCTGTGATAGCTGCTGTACTGCATGATAAGCACGTTGTCTTGGCTGATTAGCTGAGGCTGCGTGATGTGATATCTGCACCTGGCCTGGCCGGTTTATAAGGAGATGATGTTCCGATCTCTGGTACACGAAGGGTGTAGCGGTGCATCGTCCAAGTCTCCTGAGTGGCGTTGATGCAGCTACATAAGTGGCAGGGTGCAGCACTGGCTGAGTGTGAAAACTCACTTTACGAGGAGGTGATGGAGCAGATGCCTTCACTGGCGTCAGCATGTTCGCAGGTGTTGTGGTGTCCTGCTCTGGTACAGGTAGTGGCTCTATGGTGCGATGTATCACCTCACTGCTAGGTTGTGAAACTTGCTCCAAACGCTCCACCCGCTTCAGTAATGTTCCATGAGTGTCCTCCATAGACGCTTGAAGGTGATTCATGGTTTGGAGGACACTGTTCCATGCGGATTCCATCCTCTGCCATCTCCCTTCCTCTTCATTGTCAGAGCTACTGGAACTACTTGGAGCTCTAGATGGGTTGGGTGGCTCAGTTAGGTTGTGCTCATAGTCCACCAGATATCCCGGGAGTTTCCTCTCCCGTTTTGGACGGGGGCTACTCGATGCACCTCCATCCTGAGGGTTTTCCATCTCATGAACTCAGCCAAGGCAAATCCGGCTCGAAGGACCACTTGTACTGAATGTTTGCACTGATTGCCGATCACGCTTCAACTGAGTTGTCCTCGGTCAGAAGGATTGGCACTCCACAGTGATGTAGTCCAAGTAGTTTTATTAAAGAGGTAGCAGATGACATCAACAAGTGAGGCAATTGCATTCCCATCTATGAATGCAGGTAAAGGGAGTGTGAGTGTGCAGGAGTATGTGGGTGTGGTAATCTGTTAACAGAAAGAACAACCATTAGTATGAATAGCAGTGTACCGCTTATACAGCACTGTGGGTTTCCAGCATGAAGTTATATGATCTGCTATAAACCTCATGGCCACTAGATGCCACCCTAAGACCATACATGAATTTCTTGTTCGTATATGCATTAGCAAACAGTATCTCTACAGGTCAGATAATAAACACAGAAAATAGTTCTATCCACCTCCAACCACCATACTTGATAGTGAGTCGTATATGGAATGCCATATAAGCTGCAACCAAGGCTGCCTGAAGTAGGCCAACAAAACCTGCAACTTAGCAACAGGACTAGCTTCTTAGTGATGTACACAGAGCAACTCACAGATAAAGTCAAATAAGCATCAATCTCATCTTATAATACTCACATGATAAACACGCACACCAAGGGTAACTCACACAGGAACGCACGAGAAAAACGCTGATCATCCAACACCTTTCAGCTGTGCTGAACTGCGCTAAACACGTTCCCAACGGGAAGTACAGATACCGAGGTGCATCATGGGTAATGTAGTCTAAACGGTGTTCACAAACATTATTCCTCTGGAAAGCGGACTTTTAACACCGGTAATGTTTGTACCCCATGTGCAGCAGTACCGGGACCAGAGTGAATAGGGTGTGTATTGGGAGCATGAGTGGGTGTCCGGCGTGCATTTTTGTAAGTCTTTGGTTGTATGTGTATGTGTGAGCATGAGGGAGGGAATGTGTGACTGTGTTTGTGTATGACTGTATATGTCAGGTGGGGCCTTTGACTCCTCCCTTCTCCTGGGACTTCTTTTGATGATATAGATCCTCGTCTCCCCTCTCCCTGCCACACCTGGTGTGGAGTGCGGTGCCTTGGTCAGCCTGGGTCGTGGCTCCTGGGTCAGGGAGTTTAAGACTTTTCGCATCTTCCTGACCAATCCCGGTGGCTGCCTGGTGGGGTCTGGGTCCCTGGGCTCTGCTGGGTCCCCGGTGGGGGGTGGTCGCCCCTGGGTCCCGGGTCGCTGGGTCCCGGGCTCGGCCGGCTAGGGGGTGGGAGGCTGCGGGCGGGCCTGTGGGATTGCCGCTGAGATCTCCAGGGGCTCTGCCGGCTGCTGGTTGTGGCCCCCCGGGGTGACCCTCTGTGCCTCTCGAGGGGGGCGGGGGCCTTTCTGGTTGCAGTCTCATTGGAGTTCCTGTGTTCTGGGGCAGCGCCTGGATCTCTGGGACTTGGAGCTCCCCCCATCTCCTACACATCTTTGGGGGGCGGATCTGTGGTCCCTCACACTCTCTATTCTATTGGATGCTCCTATAGATAAACCATAACATCTATGATAGCTTCCAGTCAGGTTTTCGTAGAGCTTATTCTACTGAAACAGCTCTTCTTAGGGTCTCTAATGACCTTCTGACTCACAGTGATGCAGGGGACTGTTCTGTTCTGGTCCTGTTGGACCTGACTGCAGCCTTTGACACTGTTGACCATCACCTGCTACTGGAGAGCCTGAGAGACTGGGTAGGCCTATCCGGAACTGCTCTGGAGTGGTTCTCCTCTTATCTTTCTGAGCGCTCCTTTTTTGTGGCCGTCTCCAAGTTTAGGTCCTCCACCACCTCTCTTACCCATGGTGTCCCACAAGGTTCTGTGCTGGGGCCTCTGCTCTTCCTCCTCTATCTGCTTCCTCTTCAGCACATCCTGAGCTCCTTCAAAGGAATCTCCTACCATCTTTATGCAGATGACATCCAACTGTACATCTCCTTTAAGCCCCATGAGATGTCTAAGCTGCAGCTGTTACACACCTGCTTAGACTATCAAAACCTGGATGGCTGGGAGCTTTCTTCAGCTAAGACTGAGATCCTCATCTGTGCCCCAGACAAGCTGGTTCCCAAAGTCAGAGACTCTCTTGGTCAGCTTGCTTCTCACACCAAACCTTCCGTCAGGAATCTTGGCGTGACCTTTGACCCAGCTCTCACCCTGGATTCTCATGTCAGTTCTCTTGTTGGCTCTTCCTTCTTCCATCTCAGGAACGTTGCCAAGCTGAGTCCCATTCTGTCCCGCTCTGAACTTGAGACAGTTCTCCACACCTTCATCTCCTCACGCTTAGACTACTGTAACTCTCTTTTCACGTGTCTGAGCAGAACCTCCCTGAACCGTCTACAGGTGGTTCAGAACGCCTGTGCTCGGCTTCTGACCAAGTCCTCCAAACACACCCACATCACCCCGCTTCCCCTCCAGCTTCACTGGCTGCCAGTCAACTTCAGGGTTCATTTCAAGATCCTGGTTCTGGTCTATAGGGCCTTACATGGACAAGCACCATCTTACATTGGTGATCTTCTTAGTCCCTACACCCCCAGCAGGTCCCTGAGGTCCAGTTATCAAAGCCTACTGGTTGTGCAGCACCAGGCTAAAGACCAAAGGTGACAGATCATCTGCTGCTGTGGCCCCCAGACTCTGGAACTCTCTCCCCCTGAGCCTGAGATCAGTGGACTCAGTGGTCTCCTTTAAAAAGCAGCTGAAGACTCACTTGTTCAGGCTGGCTTTTGTATGACCTTCTTCACCTCTCTCTCTTTATTCTGCTCTCCCCACCTGTTCCACCTTCCTCAGGATCCACTGATTCCCTCTTTCCTGTTCACTCTCTCTCTTTCTTAACATTTTTTCTTTTAAATCCCAATTGTCTCTTTTTGCTCATTTTAAATATATTTTAAACATTTTCTAAATGCTTTTTTATATTTTTACTTTTTTTTTGTTTTTGTGAAGCGCCTCATGATTTTTATCTTGAGAGGTGCTATAGAAATGATATTTTCTTCTTCTTCCTCTCAGTCCTAAAGAAAAACTGCTACTTGGCTTCATATATATTCACCTTATGAGTTACCTTTGAACTGCAGTTCTAAAAGATCTACCGACCGCAAAAACAGCGGGGTGCTTGCCGGCCACTTCAGTGAGGTGAAGTCACTGGAGGACAAAACAGGTGATGCGCCCCGCTCCACAGCAGCGAATTGCATCAGGCACAAGTAAAAGACAGAAAACATAAAAGGAAATGAGCCGACATGAACGATCGCGTGTTAAATTTGTTTTTGAGGTGGTGACACCTAATTTGATAACGTTACTGTGGCCGTGCTCAGGACGCAGATGTCTGGAGCGTGTCAACGGTCAGAGCTTTGCATGCGCAAGCTGGTTAAGGTTAGGATGGGGGTGAGGGGAAGGTTAAATTACAAGAGGGTAAAGGTCACAATTCAGTCAAATGTCCGTTGTACCGTGGGCATCAGATACCGACGCTCTGGCACAGCGCGTCACCTCCTAACGGCTCGTCACCTGCTGTCGTTTCCGAGGACTGCATCTTGCCGTTCTTTATCACGTGACAGCGACTAGTCGATGAAAGGCATAAAAAGTCACTACAGAGCAGTGAAGTCGACTAGTTGATACAACCCCATCATAGACCTAGGCAGTCTTCAGTGACCACATTATTTAAAGCAACATATACGTTTCCCAACTCGAACTACATAAGTTGCAGTTGCAGTTTTTGGTCAGCAGAGGGTGACAGTGCTGTCCCATTGGAAGCTGTTCCAAGTTTCTGGCTAAAGAGCCACTGAAACCAGTTTGAAAGCAATGGCTTAAATAGTTGAAAACTATTGTTTATAAAGTACAGCAATCTTTTAATCGTAAACAGATGCTTCCTCTCAGATGAGAGGAGATGGCAGTCAGAGAGCACTGGAGGTTTGTAAGCCTCCAGGGAAACCAAATCTGTAGTGTAACTTGAAATCTGTACAAAATGAGAAATTAAAGTAAATTCAACGAGGCAAACATGGATCTAAAAACCATCAGCTGGCTCCATTACCCGGTTGCTCATTGGTTATGAGTTTGCCTTGTTATCGGTGGGTTGCCACATCGAACACAGGCTCCGTCCGTGACAGTTGTGTCCTTGGGCAAGTCACTTCACCCTCCTTACCTGCTAGTGGTGGTGTGACCTGTGACGCTGATTGTGTGGCAGCCTTGCTTCTGTCAGTGAGCTCCAGGGCAGCTGTGGCTCCAATGTAGCTCGTTACACCAGCGTGTGTGAATGGTTGTAAAGTGGATCTTCTGATTTAGAAAAAAGCTTTACAATGCAGGCAATTGTTTCTAAGTTGGCAAACTTTTTAGCCGGCTGTGGTCTTTGAAATTAGACTTTTTTGCTCAGCTTGCTTATTAAATTCTATTTGCTGTTGTATTCAAAGGCTGTGAGTGTGCATTTACCTAAAATACAAGGTTTAACGAGTCTTTATTACACTGACAGCATCAATTGCATTTGACTGAGACACAACAGGCAACACGTAAAATACAATCCAGTCTCCTCTCTTAACAATAAAAACAACTTGGATGCTGTATGTTTTTAGTTCTCATCCCGCGGACCATGATCAGCCTGTTACGTAGCTTTTCCAACAGAAAGTAAGATGAGGAATCCTCTGCTGGAAAATCCAGCACTGTTGCTGGATTTTTCTTAAGGAGTTCC